TTTGTTGTGCTCTTCTTGTGCATCATCAGAATCTTTCTTGGACCTTCTGAGTTTTCTTGGAGTTTTTCGACACCTTCTTCATCTGTGTGGCTGTCAAAATCTGCCTTCTGACTATCGGCAAAATCTGTTGCCATCTTGGTAATTTTCACAGGTCAAAGCTTTCAATTTTTTTCGACACCACGAAGCCTTCCTCTCGACTTCTTGCATTATGTCTTCTGACCGATACGATGCATTCATGGTTCGTTTTAATGGCAAGAATTATTCAACTTGGGCATTTCATTTCAAAGTTTTTGTCAAAGGTAAAGACATGTGGGGGCATGTCGATGGAACTCTTTCTCCTCCGGACAAAGATAAAGAGAACCAATATGCTAAATGGGAAGTCAAGGATGCACAGGTTCAGTCATGGATCCTCGGTTCAGTTGAACCACATATTGTTCTTAATCTCAGAACTTATGAGACAGCTGCAGACATGTGGACATATCTAAAAAAACTTTACAGTCAAAATCACACAGCCCGTCGTTTCCAGCTTGAGTTTGAGCTCTCCAATCTCACCCAGGAGAGTCTCACTATCTCTGATTTTTACTCTAATTTCATGAATCTATGGCATGAGTATACGGATATTATCTACGCTAGTCTTCCTCCTGAGGGCGTTGCCACGGTCCAAACTCTGCATGAAACAAGTAGACGAGATCAATTTCTTATGAAGCTTAGATCTGATTTTGAAGCCACCCGCTCTAGTCTCATGAATCGTGACCCAGTTCCCCCTTTAGATGCATGCCTGAATGTTCTACTTCGAGAAGAGCAGCGTATGCTCACTCAAAATACTATGGAGCACCGTATCTCTGCCACTCCAATGGCCTATGCGGCTCAAGGAAAGAACAAAGGGCGAGATATGAGTTCTGTCCAGTGCTATTCATGCAAGGATTTTGGACATTATGCCTCACAATGCTCCAAAAAATTCTGCAATTATTGTAAAAAGACAGGACACATCATTAAGGACTGCCCTATTCGACCCCCCAAGAAATCTGAAGCATCCTACCATGTCTCAGTTGCCTCCTCTTGTGCTTCCAGCTCTGTGGAACCAGCTTTTCCAACATAAAATGTTCCTGCTCCTAGTCAATCTCTCACTCCAGAAATGGTACAACAAATGCAACAAATGATTGCAAATGCTTTCTCAGATTTTGGCCTTTCAGGTAAACCTTTCTCAACTTCTCAGCCATGGTATTTTGATTCTGGAGCCTCCCATCATATGACAAACGCTGCTGCCTCACTGTCCAATCTACAAAAATATTCTGGTAACCTTAGAATACATACTGTCAATGGCAATTCCTTGTCTATAACTGATACTGGTGATGTTTCTCCTACTATAACAAATGTGTTTGTCTCTCCTAGCCTTACTTCTAACCTTGTATCTGTCGGACAATTAGTTGAAAATAATTGCAAAGTTGAATTTTCTCAATCTGGTTGTGTTGTGCAGGATCTAGCATCCGGGAGAATGATCATGAAGGGGCCTAAAGTGGGGCGTCTCTTTCCTCTCCAGCTACCTCCTTCTCCATATTTGAATTTTGTTACTTGTAATTCAGTTCAAGTTAATAATCACATGTGGCATAGGCGTCTAGGACATCCAAATTCACATGTACTTTATCAATTGTTACATTCCGGTTTGCTTGGAAATAAAGAATTGCCTTCTCTTGATGCTATCAAATTTAATTGTCACTCTTGCAGAATGGGGAAAAGCAAATCTTTGCCTTTTCCACCTCGCACACCTCATCCAACTTGTCCTTTTGAACTTATACACAGTGACGTATGGGGTATGGCACCCATGTCTTCTACTGCTCAATACAATTACTTTGTAACTTTTATCGACGATCATAGTCGATTCACTTAGATTTATTTTCTTCGTTCTAAGGGTGAAGTCTTTTCTGTATTCAAGTTGTTTCATGCCTATCTTGAGACTCAATACAAGGCTAAAATCAAAATTTTACGTTCTGATAACGGGGGTGAATACATGTCTACCAATTTTCAGGAATTCCTTCAATCTCATGGGATCATCTCTCAACGATCTTGTCCTTCCACACCTCAACAAAATGGTGTGGCAGAGAGGAAGAATCGTCACCTTCTCGATGTGGTTCGCACTCTTTTACTTTGTCCCTGCTCGATTTTGGTGTGAAGCTTTGACCACGGCTATCCATTTGATAAATCGAATGCCTTCCCCTTCTTTGAATAATGAATCTCCGTTCTTTCGTTTATTTGGTCATAATCCTGATTACTCTAACTTTCGTGTGTTCGGTTGTGTGTGTTTTGTCCATCTTCCCCCTCATGAACGTACTAAACTCACGGCTCAATCGGTCAAATGCGCATTTCTTGGATATTCAGTTCATCAAAAAGGATTTGTTTGTTATGACCCTCATCTTCGTCGTAATCGCATTTCCAGAAATGTTATTTTTTTTGAAAATCGGTATTTTTTCACAACTAACAAAGACCATATTTCTCCTTCATTGTCTATTTTACCTATATTTTCTAACTCATCTGTAGCTCAAGACTCTCTTGAGCCTCTCTCAATGTATCAGAGACGAAGCCCACCTGCAGCACCTACTATTCCAGACCCTCCAATGCCTCTTCCAGATCATTCCTCGGTTGCTATTCCTGTTCCAGATAACACCAGTGCATCTACCCCTCTTAGGTACAGCACCCGCGTGCGCCGTCCTCCAAATAGGTTTGGTTTCACCCCTCCTTTATCTTTGACTGCAACCTTGTCTTCCATTTCTATTCCCACTTGTTACAAACAGGCCATGGAACATGAGTGTTGGCAGAAAGCTATTGAAATAGAGCTTCAAGCACTAGAGGAAAATCAGACATGGGAGGTTGTCCCGTGTCCTCCCTCCGTAAAACCTATTGGAAGTAAGTGGATCTTTTCTGTCAAGCTTCGCTCCGATGGTTCCTTAGACCGTTACAAAGCTCGTTTGGTAGCCCTTGGAAACAAACAAGAGTACGGACTAGATTATGACGAGACTTTTGCACCTGTTGCCAAAATGACTACTGTGAGGACTATTCTAGCCATTGCCGCCTCTCAATCATGGCAGTTAAATCAACTCGACGTCAAAAATGCATTTCTTCATGGCGATCTCAAGGAGGAAGTTTACATGAAACTTCCATCGCGTATGCCTATCTCTTCTATGAATGATGTGTGTAAACTAAAACGTTCACTCTATGGATTGAAGCAGGCACCTCGCGCTTGGTTTGAAAAATTTCGGAACACACTCCTCAGTTTTTCCTTTACTCAGAGTCAATATGATTCCTCACTTTTCCTCCTACGGACTCCTACGGGCATTGTTATCCTACTTGTTTATGTTGATGATATCATCATCACATGTTCTGACTTAGAAGCCATTTCTAAGCTCCAACAGCAGTTACATGCTACTTTCCACATGAAGGATCTCGGGCATCTAACTTATTTCTTGGGCTTGGAGGTACATCGTCAGTCACAGGGTCTTTTCTTGACTCAAACCAAATATATTCAGGATCTGGTGGTTTTAGCTAAACTCACTGACACTACTTCCATGGATACTCCCATGGAAATTAATGTCAAGTACCGAAGTAATGAAGGAGACCTTCTTGAAGATCCCAGTCTCTATCGGAAGTTGGTGGGTAGTCTTATCTACCTAACTATCACTCGACCTGACATTTCCAAAGTAGTTCATACTGTTAGCAAGTTCATGCAAGCCCCTCGGCATTTCCATCTAGCCGCAGTACGGCGGATCATTCGCTACCATCTTNATCACTCGACCTGACATTTCCTATGTTGTTCATACTGTTAGCAAGTTCATGCAAGCCCCTCGGCATTTCCATCTAGCCGCAGTTCGGCGGATCATTCGCTACCTTCTT